GTTTATGTTCACAGTAATACAGGAATTGCCATCTTCAGTGTTGTACAATTATATAGTGTTTATGTTCGCAGTAATACAGGAATTGCTATCTTCAGTGTTGTACAATTATATAGTGTTTATGTTCACAGTAATACAGGAATTGTTATCTTCAGTGTTGTATAATTATATAGTGTTTATGTTCGAAGTAATACAGGAATTGCTATCTTCAGTGTTGTATAATTATATAGTGTTTATGTTCGCAGTAATACAGGAATTGCTATCTTCAATGTTGTGCAATTATATAGTGTTTATGTTCGCAGTAATACAGGAATTGCTATCTTCAATGTTGTGCAATTATATAGTTTTTATCTTCATAGTAATACAATGTTGTGCAATCAGGTGTTTTAAGAACAAATATGAAGACAGCAACGGTTATTACAACATAATTTGATAAACCGCTAAACCTATACAGAACTCATATAAATCCTACTTTGTAAAATGTTATACGTCCCCTCAATATATATATATATATGTATGTGTATAAAACTATATTAACCTTATAAGAGCTATAAAAATAAGTTATACCTCACTGAGGTAGGTTTTAAGCTACACTGCTAACTTATCATTATGCGCTTACATGTAGGGTTTAATTACAGTGAGATTGGATTTTATAATGATAAAATATTGAATGATACCGCCAATATTGTTTTATATTTCTGTTATTCAGCGCTTTATAATTACTACCAGTTGTCAGAACTTTAAATGTTTTATTTTATGATAGGGGGCTTGTAATTGATAATAGGCTTGGCTGCAGTCACTCGTACACTTTGCTAGTAACGCTTTCGGCCATTATGTGTCTGGATGACAGAATATGCCATCACACATTCTCGTAATTCAACTTGTTGGTTTCGGATTTACAGTAGTTAAAAGGATTGGCATAATTTATAGTTACATGAACGTAGTTTGTACTTCTGCTTATTCGAAACTTATTCATGTTTCTATGCGTGTCTGAAGAACAAGAAGAGCATAATTTATAATTACATGAACGTAGTTTGTTCTTCTACTTATTCTAAACTTATTCATGTTTCTATGCGTGTCTGTAGAACAAGAAGAGCATAATTTATAATTACAGTGAACGTAGTTTGTTCTTCTGCTTATTCTAAACTTATTCATGTTTCTATGCGTGTCTGTAGAACAAGAAGAGCATAATTTATAATTACATGAACGTAGTTTGTCCTTCTACTTATTCTAAACTTATTCATGTTTCTATGCGTGTCTGAAGAACAAGAAGAGCATAATTTATAATTACATGAACGTAGTTTGTTCTTCTACTTATTCTAAACTTAT